TCCTTCATTCCCAGCTAACCGAAGGGCAGATTACCTAAACCCTGAAGACACCAGTGTCAAAACAGAGTCTTTCAATGGTTTGCCGTAGATGTTTGATGTGCATCAGGGTTGCAGGTTGCCGGACATAGAGTTCAGCCAGCGATACTCATAGCTCTTTCGGGCTCAAGCCTCGTCTTGATCCCATCCACAAGGAAGGCCGGGCAGGATGTGGGATGAGAGGCTTGAGACCTTTCTAACAGCTAACAGAAATCCATCCCGGCCAGGAAGGTCCGCAACCTCTGCGACCGTGTGAGCCTGAGTTGCCAGACAGCTCGTGCAGAGTTGCGAAGGACATGCCGTGCAGGGCGCAGAGTACGGCTTTTTCAGTTACTGAGAGGCGGGGTAGGCCACTTCCAGATCATGGCTCCTTAAAGCACGATTACTCAAAGCCTCGGTCATGCCGAGGTCTCCCCGTTCATACCTCTACGTTCTCAAGGCTTGGGTTAGGTAGACTGAGCAAGCCTGTCTGTGGGCTTTCAGCGGGACCGTGGAGCACGAGCGGATTCTGCAGGCTTCTGCGCTGAAGCCAGAGCACCAAAGCACCGCACACTTCAAAGTTGAAGCTGCGTATGAAGCAGGCGCAGCATGCTGACTTGGAATAAAGCAGGCCGCTTGCATCATGTTCGCTACAGCGTCCGTCTCCATGATGGCCAAGAAGGCACCTCCCAACAAGGTGCGACCCTTCTGTTTGTTTCGTGGTGGGGGCTTGCAAGGGCTTTGGTGCTGCCTGTTGATTCCCACTGCTTGAGAGCGTGACCGCTTGCACCCGACATGTAGTCCAGGACCCCAATCTTCGGAAGTTCTTCGCCTTTGTGTTTTTCAGAAACTGCAGTGATGCTAGGTGATGATGGCCTATGGGTACAACCGCCTTGTTGAAGTATTGCACTTCACGCAAAGGAAAACTTGAAGTTCTCTTTGGCCAGAGCCCCCCTGCACCACCACGCTGGAATGCAATGCAATGCAATACAATTCTGGCCTGCTGCCAGTGTCTTCTGCACGGCCGCATTGGCGGTTTACCACTTCATCGCAAATGGTGAGCCGGATTCTGAGCGCCCTTCTTTCACATGGGATTCCTGCTGCCGGAAGTTTGGCACGATGCGGCATCTCCTCCCAAAAACTCTCTCCTTTCGTCTGCAGGTTCTCTGCAATCTTGACACTGGCAGTCCTGCACCCAGCTGCTCCGCTTCGAATCCTCAAGGATTGTGACAAGATAGGCGAAGGAGGGTTTAGAGCTTGCCAGCGCTGGCCCAAATCCCGTGACCACCTCCAAGGTCATCTTCCAGTGCTTGGGCTTCGCCCTACTTTGTGTGCAGGTTCTGCTCACAGCCAGGATCTTAAAGGGCTGTGGCTCTGCCTTTCTGCCATCCAGCTCTTTCAAAGACGACCATGCTTTCCACTGGGCTCAGATCGATTCTGTTGTTCCTGAGGGCACCTGCGCGGGCATTTCAGCCCGTGCTCTGGCACTGGATGTTTGCAGCTGAGCCGGCTGATTCCAATTGGCCTTTTGCCTTGATCCGTTGAGAGCTGGATGTTGGGCAGGTCAGCCGGCATTTTCTGGGAATGACAGGATTGCGTGCATGTCTGGATGGTTGCCAAGGCTTGGGCATTGTGCTTTCGGCTCTCATCAACGCCCGAGCCTGGGATCTTTGCAGCACAGCCACGCTGCGCCGAGATTTGCTTCTGTCTCATGACTACTGGCTGCGTCATGCTAAGTCCGTCCCCTAGGAATGACAGAAGCACATCCTTTAGTGTTATCGTGCAGGGTTGTTGATTTGCGGATGTTTACGGCCAACAACACTTGAATTATCCTCATCCTCATCCTTGCACAGAATCCTACAGTCCTTCAAGCATGTCCCGGTTGTGTCACGTAACAATAGCATTTCTACCTACTTCTACTTGGAGGTTCATAGGAATGGGTAAGTTTTTCTAGCTGGGCTTGCAACCCTGCTTATTAGGATCCCTAGCTTGCCTCAAGCAAGCCAGAACCTCAGGTACAAGTAGTAGTTGCTAAGTCCCATGAACCACCAAGTATAAACCATTGTAGGGGTGTTGGACTGAATCTATGGAATAGGCAACATGTCTAGGATGGGCATGAGGTTCCAAGGTACTTTGTTGGCGAAAACCGATAGGGGCCGTTCCTCAACCGATGCCCCTCATAACCAATAGGTCCAACCCCTTTTCCCGCGGTCTCTGCGCTGTGCAAGAGATTTAGTCCAGCACTCATACAATGCTAGTTGCCATTTGAATTTCCATGTCACTCCTGTATTGGGTAACAAAACAGGTGAAAGGGGCTGGAATAATGACAATAGTAGTAGTAAAGATAGTAGTAATAGTAGCAAAACTGTAGTGCTAGTAGTACTAAAAGTAGTAATAGTAGTCGTAATAGTAGTAGCCGTAGTAGTCGTAGTCGTAGTAGTAGTAGTAGTAGTACTAGGAGTAGTTAGAGGAATAGCACCAGTAAGAGTAAGAGTAATAGTAACTGTGGTTGGCAGTCTCTGGCTCCATGGCTACCTGCCCGTGGATGCCTCCGGGGACTGGGCCTACCAGGCCCCCGCACAGAGGTCTTAAAGCTGGGGGTTTCCCAGTTTTTGGGTACCTTTTTGGGGGGGTCCCTATAATAAGGACTATAGTATAATGGCATATAATAAGGACTATAGTATAATGGTTAAATCTGGCGGTTTCCCAGAATTAGGGGTACCTTTTGGGGGGTCCCTATAATAAGGATTATAGTATAAGGGGATTATACTATAAGGATTATAGTATAATGGTTAGAGCTGGGGGTTTTCCAAAATCAGGGGTACCACTAAAAGGGAGTTATGGGGATATATAGGGGTTATCTTGAACAGATATTAGGGTTGAGGGCTTAGGGTTTCTTAACATTGTGGGTACCCCTTCTGCGGGGTCCCTATAGTAAGGTCTATAGTATGTTGGGGTCCCCCTATTTTAGGAAACTACCGACTGGAGATGCGTTTGAGGGTCGGCCTTCAGAAGAAGGATACACCGGGGTTCTCTAGGGGGAATGGACAAGAAAACGGAAGCTGCTACAAATGCAGGGTTTGTTTAGGGTTTTTAACTTGGGATGGATGGAGGCTTCATCATTTAGGATGCTTCAGGGTTTGGGCATGTGGGACACCTGGGGGCTTCTCAAAAGAAGGGGCCTCCTACAAGAGTCAGGATACAGGAGAACTAAGAAGAGATTTCCCAAATGAACTATGGAGAGACTCCCACAAGAACACACTACAGACGGAAAATGGCATAACCCCCAGCATTGCAACCTCCAACCAAGTGTCCGTAGTTTTTCGATGCCCTTACATCAGGGTTTTTGGTGCATCAGCAATGCAAAGCGTAGAAGTCTCTGCAAAAGCCCCTGGCTGTAGATGCATGCAGGGCCGCATCGACAGCTAAAAAGGGTAGCAAGGGGTCGAGCTAGTTTGGCTCATTTCATGATGGGAAAGAAAACGGAAGTTACTACATGAATTTAGGGTATATATTGGGGTTATAGTAGGGAATCAAATTAAGGGAATATATCATGAAGGGATTGTATTCCCATATTCCCCACTGCAAGAGGCAGTGAGGTCTCAAAGGGCAGGATGCTGACTTGTCGTCCTGCGTTTGAATTAAATCGATCCCAAAGGAAACTGCAACGAGTCTTGAAGGAATGATAAACAATCTTGTGATACAGGGGTTCTGATTGATGACCCCCTCTCCCACCCTCAAAACAAGTAGGGGATTCCAAATAGCCCGGGGTCCCCCAATCCAAGTTCGGCAAACTTGTTTGGGGGGCGTCAATTAACTTTCCACTGCCGGGATCAATTCCGGTTCTCGATTTGACGAAAATATCGCTCTATTTCGTATGCAATTGTTATTCCATTCCTCGCTTTATTACGAACCCATGTATCAATCTCTACCCAATATTAGCTTTAAAAATTCAGAGCTTTCGAGAGGCGGGCAGAGGCTGTTGACATGATGAACACCTTTCTGTCATGCATCGCTTGCGCTGATGCGCATGGTGACCAGTGCAACGCATTAGCCGCAACATTTCCGCCAGTCGACATGGGCGTTGTGAACGGGATGACGAAAGACTTTCGTGCATGGCTTGCTGAAGCCTGTGAT